GGCTCAGAGGTTAAGAGCACTGACTGCTCTTCCAGAGGTCCTGAGTTCAATTCCCAGCACCCACATGGTGGCTCACAACCATCTGTAATAAGATCGGGCAACCTCTCCTATATACATAATAAATAAATAAATCTTTAAAAAAAAAAAAAAGATCTGAGCTTTGGAGAGGGGTGTAATAGACACTTCTCATTTAGGGTTGAGCAATCCAGTTATTCTCTGCATGTTGACCAGTTGAGGATCTGGTAATTGCCATCTACTGAAACTTCCATGAAGAGGGTTGAGAAATCCCTCTGTACAGCTTTAAAAAAAAAAAGATGGGTTAACAAATTCCCCACCAGCACCTGCCGGTGCAGATTTCTCCCAGGGTCCAGAGTAGATACCACTAGTGGCGAAGAAATTAATTTGACGGATATCCAAAGAATCTAAGCATACCGAGCTCTATAGCCCATTCACCTTTTTCTTCTAAGTCAATTCTATCTACACAGCTTTTGTGTTTTCATACTTAGCTCCTCTCTGTCCCTTCTGCTGTTTTCTCACTGTTCTTAGTTCTTTCCATCTTTGTTCTCCCCCAAGTCTCTGGTTTCCAGTTTATATACACATACAATAAGTAATTCTCTGGCTGTGTGGCTTTCTGGTAGGGCAGGGGAAGTTTACTCAGTTGCTAGGCAACCTGCGTCACAATGTGTAGTATTTGGTTAGTAAAAGCACTTTCGCTCTGAGTTAATTGCTAAGGGGGAATCTTTAGAACTTGGTACAGCACCTGGGCTGAGATAACAGAGGGAGGGCAAAAGCTTAATTCACATAAGAAATGAGGCTTGGCACCTATCATCCGCCTGGCTTTGTCCATTGTCTCGTTGGGTTGGTGGGAATATTTATCTTATCTCAGTAACTAGCAGATGGCCAAAACACCATCCCAGAATTGTAAGCAGTAAATCTCTTAAATTAGGATCTTGTGTTAATAAACCAGGGTGAAGGTAAGGAGTTAATTTAATTGTTAGTGGTTATTTTCTGTTACCTGTAGGTGAGATGAGCTAATGCTTATCTATCTGCAGTCTGTCCTTGGATGTAGAAGTATCTCAGATGAAATACTTTTGTCTGGAGAATAGCCCTGGCCAGATGTTTGCTAATAAACACCGCTGGGGAGTGTTATTCAAAATAACCCCAATAGTATATGGGAAGCTGTGCTCAGTAAATGATCATTCTCACTGTTGGAAGTTCTTGGGAAAATAAATGGGAAAGCTACAATAGCACACAAGAAATTCACTGCAGGACAGTGAATTAAAAAGACAGTAAATAAAAAAAAAAA